GCTCGGCTAGTCTTACTCGGCACGTTAAAGCTCGTTTTGTTAACGAGCCGGGCTCGCTCGACTTGATAAGGCTCGAAAGGAGAATTTTTATATATTTTTCTTTCGCTATAGTTCGAGATCACCTCGTTAAGGCTCGAACTCGACACGATATTGATAAACGAGCCAAGCTCGGCTCGATTTCGTTGTTTAACGAGTTGAGCTCGGCTCGACTCAGCTCGACTCGTTAAGGGCTCGAGCTCGAGGACGGCTCGGCTTGTTTACAGGTCAATGCCCACTCAAGAAAACACGCACAATATAGTGTATTTTAACATTTTTTTTTTTTTTTGGCCAAATATATAGTCAAAAGTACATATGTGAAAATTTCGAAAACACCCGTCAACTTTCGAAAGCATTGCAAACAGCCCCCAAAGTAACTGAACTATGTCAATTTGTTCGACTAGTGATCAAAATCTTACTATCGGACTTCCGTACAATCAACATCTTGAGAAGATTCATTCGTTTTGTAAGCATTTCAATGGTGTCTCCCGATCAAAAATGTGATATCATGATCAACGAAAAATAGAAAACAACGTAGTTTCTTATGCACGTGTGTAGTTTACCTTATCAATTCGATTCATTACCAGTGAATTAATTATTAAACTTCCACAAAGTATACATCATTTTGTTCGTCTCATCATGTGCTTCAAAAGTGTTAAATCAATTTTAAAGTTCGATTAAAAGTTAATCGGCAATGGAAATAAAATCTACGTCATTTTAGGCTTTTAAATTTCAAGAGATATATCATCAATTCATATACTTTGAGAAGCAAAATTGTTAACTTTAAAACTTTTATGCCAAAGCTCAAAAGAAAAATTTTCGGAGGGGTTTACGTCTCCAGACAGAAAACAAACCTTGGCGCGCTTCCTTTAGGCATTTTCACAGATGTCCAAAACCTCAGGGTGCTTTTTGCAATTAATCCTTTCAAATCTGTTCAAAATTCAGTGAGACCAGACAGTAGTACAAAGAGTACACACTCTCAAAATCTCAAAGACCAGAAAACTAGATAATATTCATATAACCAATATCAGAAATAAAAGAAAG